AAGCCGAAGCCGAAGCCCATGGCTAGGTTTGAATCAACTACCGCTGGATTGTAGGATCTCAGGAATCCCCACGCTATCATCTTTGTGAAACTACTCAGCAGAAAACGAACGCGCTGCCGCGCTTAGGGCTGAAGAGGAGAGGAGCAGGCCTGGGAAGAGTCCGTCCGGACGGAAGACTACTGGGGCCCGGCGGCGCCGTCCCGTCTGGGGCGAGGATTTGGCCGGACGAGTCGGGCTCCGTCCCAGGTTTAAAAAGCTTCGGGCCCGAGTGGGGCCCCGTGGGGCCCGTAAATATTTAGGGTGGAAGCGGCTGGCTATGAAGTGTACGGTGCCGGCTGTCCGGAAGATTTTGGCCAGTGAAAATTTTGCATCCGATCTGATACGGGATTGAACAGAGAGTAACGGACATGCACAGGGTGTAGGATCTGCCGGCAGAGGTGTCTCCTTAGCCGTCTACTCCTCGCCGTGCTGCCAACTCCTCAGTCGTCTTCTCCTAAGCGTAATTGCGGCCTGCAGCGCCACAGTCCAAGGCTAGTACTAGCGCCAAGATATCCGGGCCCGAATGGGGCCCCAGTCGACCTCTGGCTTGGCCGGAGCCCTGTAGTCCTTGATATTCCGGGCCCGACAAATTCCGTCTGGTCCGGGGCATAGGCTCGGACGGACGCGACGGACGATTCCGAGGCCTGGAGAGGAGGCGAAGAGGAGGCGGCGAAGGGAGCACCAGGAGTGGAGTGGATTCGGGTGTGAGTTCTCGCACGCTTTGTAAAGGCTATACTTCACAGGTAAGTATCATATCGAGCCGTGTACTAAAGTCAAAAGCATTATGGCAGCTAAACATGAGGGCGATTTTGGCACAATACTCTTGACGAAAAAATACCATCCTGAGTGCAGTGAAAATCAGTCCCAACTCGTAAGCCTTCTGCAAAGACTACTGGCCGGCCCGCCTTAGAAGCTCATAAGGGTTCCATATGGGCTCTGCAAGGAATTTTGAAAAATAAGGATTAGTAAGGCTTATACTCTCAAAATGACTTCGTCTGCGACAAGCCTCATCTCTTGCAATACTTATCACTTCTCGATGCTGTTCACTTGACGATGACTATCACTTGTTCCATACCCTTATATACCTAAACTACTCTCCTTCCCCGCTCCCCACTCCCCCGTCAGCATTTCCATACTGTCCCGCACTCACCTTACTGTGTCCCCACTACTGCTCGTCGCTGTGGATAACATGCTGGCCTCGCTGGCCTCGCCGCAGTGGACCCTAGGTACTGTATCGCCTTACTAACCGTTGTTTTCCTATAGCTTGTCAGCATTATCCTTCAAGTAAGTGCCAGGGGTGTGGTGGGGTGAAGAATGAGTTGTCTATGAGAGGACGAGGAGTTGCAGTTGCGGCGGGGGTATGTAGGAACTATGTGAGAGAGGAGCTATCAGCGGGAGTTGTAGTTGCGGTGGGAGTGTGAGTAGCAGTTGCGGCGGGAGTTGTAGTTGCGGTGGGAGTGTGAGTAGCAGTTGCGGCGGGAGTAGCAGTTGCGGCGAGAGGAGGAAGTGGAGGAAGTGATGGGGGAGCAGTGGGCGAGAGGAGGAGCTGTTAGCAAGTGGGGTTTAAACTTTTAACTGCAAAATAACCCTCACCATATCTGTCTTCATAAAACTCTGCGCCTAACAACCCGCTGGGACATTGTCTGGCAGGTTTGATTGAAGCCGATGAGCTCCTGTGGGCAAGAGGGAGAGCTGTCCGAGCTGTCTCTCTTTCTCTCTCTCTCTCTCATCATCATCATCTACAGAATACACGAATAACCCCCTCCCCCCCGCCCCCCCCCCCCCTCTCCACTCTCTCCTCTGCAGTGAATGCTAAAGCTCCTCTCGGCCCCGCAATTGGTGAGGCGTACGCTGGGCACGACACATCCTGCTCAGAGTGCCAGTGCCAGACGGACACAAGGCGGATATAAGAATTTCCGTATCACACGGTCTGATTTTCGCATATGAGCTACTAACTCATAAGAGTGATGGAACCCATAGTTCGAATAAGACTCATTGAACGCTTACATCATACTGGGTTTTCTGTCCCGGGCTGATGCATCCCATAATGCTTCACAAAACCTGCCAGGCTCACAGTCATTATTGTACGGCAGTGCTGTGCATTTCAACAATGACGATATAGGCCTGACGAAAGCTATGAGGCTTACAAAGTGACAAGGCCGATTTAGGTGATGGATAGGTATGATGTAGGAGTTACGACAATTTTAGGGAAATGAGAACATCAGCCTTAGTTTTACACAGCCCTTACTGAGGCCTCACGAGTTCAACACGCTTGTAGCTGTATGATACGAGGACTGTTTTATTTCGTACGCTTATCCAAGCCCTACATAAGGCTAACGACATTAGTACACGGCTCGATATGGTAGGTACGTATGGTCTGTATGTGAGAGCACCGGCTGCTGCAATTCCGGTTTCGGTGTATGACCGGCGATGTGCTGTTTAACTTTGGATGGCACTGTGCGCTTCCCAAGTGGGTATGTGAGTGCGCTGCTACGCCTGCGCCACCGCCAATCGCTTAGCCGCGGCGGGTATTCTGCGGTTGGGATTTGCCTGATTAAGCTTTGGCAGCTGGGGCGGCCGCTGGCGGGGGGGCTGAATTGATACTACTGCGACTACTACTGCGACTACGACTACGACTACGACTACGACTACGACTACGAATCTGCGACTACTTTATGGTGGCACATGTTCACACGCGCCGATCACCCGGACCATGTGACACGTCGTTGCGCCAGCTGTGGTTCTTGCGTTTTGGTGTCGCATGGGTTTGGCTGGGTCTGGTGGTTTCGTACCCCACTGTCTACAAGTTGATGAGAAGTACAGAGGAACTAGTGGGAATACCCACTGCCACTATTTGTTCGCTGCAGGGTGGGTACAGCGTTCGACGACGTAGGTAGGTAGCTATTAGGCGTCACCGATGGAAGTGATGGCCGGGGCGGGGGTTCATGTCCTGGAACGTAGAACCGGCTCACCGCCGACTCTAGGGGTTATCTGCGCGCAAGATATAGGAAGCCAGACTATTGGCGAGACGTGGAGATGCATCATTTCGGCACTTCCCCCCGGCGCGACGTTGGCGTTGACGTTGGCGGCTGGCAACATCGAGCGCGGATAGTAAACTCGGGGTTCGCAGCGAGTCTCCCACGGCCATACAGGCATCGGTATAGTACCGGTAGTGTACGTAGGCCGGCTTTTTGTCCGGTATCGTAAGAGATGTGACGAATCGGCGAAGGGAAGATTTAGTGTAGGTAGTTGCTGTGGAGGATGCAATAATTGGCCATAGTGCGGTGTATACGGATAAACTCGATGTCTTCACATGGCATCATCAGCCCAGGTCGGAGAACCAGGCAATATCTCGATTCTCGCTAGGGTGACGTGGGTCGCAATACAACCTACATAGGTGGGTACTCCACGTTTCGATGGATAAACGGAAGCGAGAAGTGTGGTCAGACTTCCGCATGCAGTCCTGTAGACATGTGCCATCAGCAGCGGTGGGTGCAGGCGGGGCGACGTGCCATGTGGGTGAGGGAATTCGAAGCCTTCTAGAAGCTCAGCCGGAAGAAAGCTGGAGAGCAGGGATCCGCGGGGATGTTGGATTCCGGCAATCATGCTTCCATCACTTCACTACGGTACCGGCACTTGTCCCCGCAGTGCGGATGGTGTTATATTTCCACCCCCGTCGAGATCACGCCGTAAGACCAAACTGCTCGCGTGGATTCGATAGTATTCTGCATGGAAGGTTCTCTACGTATGCATACGAATTACCGCGGCGAATGCCGGGGGGGAGGGGTAACGCCGCTTGAGGTTCGATTGCCTGGACGGGCAGCTGAGGAGATGTCAAAGATCGAGTGAATGCTAGAGATAGGAGACACATGCCGAACACCCACGGCGGAGCGCGCGGACTGAGCAGAGGTTGTACTCTGCATAGATCCTCCAGGCGTTTGACTGAGGGCGCATCCAATGCCCTACCCCGCGACGCATGTAGCACACACTCGACCGAACCCCCTTCGAGGTGCGCCGGATTCCGCTGAAGATGGACCACCACACCGATGGTTGTGACACTGAGAAAGGAGAACGCAGCGCAGCCTCGATTATCCCACGGCGCCACGGCGGATCCCGGCGTGGCGAGAGCGCAGGCGGCCTCGCTGGCCCCATGTCGTGCGGGATGGCCGCGACAGTGATATGCGGACGGCGGGTGCCGAGTCGGAATTGCCACCACCAAGCAAGCAAGTCAGTACTCGGCAGCAGCAGCAGAACCGCTGTGGAAAAAGGATGACGCCACGGCCGGAGAATAAGGTATCTGCCACGGCCGGGGAATAAGGTATCTGCCACGGCCGGAGAATAAAGTATCTGCCACTTAACGGCCGACCAGGATCATACCACGCGATGTCCTGTTCTGTACCTGCAGCCGCTGCGTGCGTTGGGCATCGCACTGGCGCTAGCGCAGTCGCCTACATACAGCCCGATATATCCAGATTGCCATGCGGGGTCGATAAGATGCCATGCTATTTCCCCGCATGTCACCCGCAGCCTGCAAGGAAGAATCCTCATGAAGTGCAAGGTCGCATGCAATCGACCACCAAACAGAAAAATGCAAACAACACAGAAAGAGAAAAAGCAACCAATGCAGTCGCCGGTGCAGATGGTGCTGTCCCCTCTTGGTGCTCCACCCAATCACCCGCGGCATTTGCCATATGCACGTGCGAACGAACCGAGTATCCGTCGGTGCCACCAACCAGCGATTGGCCGACAGAGATGGACAGGGATCCGTCGGATAAACATCGAGCTGATCGGGAGCGGTGGAAGTTGCGTCTGCGCTCGCACCGAACAGGAACAGTCGAACTTGCGCTGCGCTCGCACCGAACAGGAACAGTCGAACTTGCGTCTGCGCTCGCACCGAACAGGAACAGTCGAACTTGCGTCTGCGCTCAGCGCTGGACACGGCCGTCTCCATGCTGCACGATGTCATCGAAAAGGAGAGACCTGCGCAGCCTTCTAGCGGTACGCGCCCTTTAAAAAGGCCCGCCTCTCCTCCGTCCATCCGCTCCTCACCCCATCTCTTACTCCTTCATTCTTTGGTTCGACACCGACCGTGCCATCCACTCCCTGATCATGCGTTTCCTCCGTTCTCTTCTGCTCTGTTCCGGCCTCATCGCCGCCGCCTCCTCGCGTGTTCTCAAGTCTCGCCAGAGCACCACCGTCAGCACCTGGGTTACCGCCGAAGAGCCCCTCGCCAGAGCCGCCCTCTTCAGGAACATCGGCAGCAAGGGCGAGTTCGCCAAGAATGTCGATGCTGGAGCCGTCATTGCGTCTCCTAGCACCTCCAGCCCGGACTAGTATGTGTTCTTCCTCTACCCCGATCTCGCTCCGACGCACACGGTTGACGGTCATCGCAGCTTCTACCAATGGACCCGCGACTCCTCCATGGTCTTCAAGGTTCTCCTGAACTCTTACATCAACGGCAACTCATCGCTCAACACCCTCCTTCGCGAATTCGCCACCGAGTCGGACAAGCTGCAGCGCACATCGAATCCCTCTGGCGGCTACCAGGGCGCGGGTATCGGCGAGCCCAAGTTCGTCTACCCCGCGCGCATTCCACCTACATCTCTGCACATTTCCGCTAACACACCTCCAGGTTCCTCGTCAACGGAACCCCTTTCACGTATGCATCCCTCATCCAGCTCCTCGGAAATCAATCTTCGTTCCCGTACTGACCGACATAGCGGATCATGGGGACGCCCCCAGAACGATGGCCCTGCAATCCGTGCCACCGTCCTGATCAAGTTCGCCAACATGCTGCTGGATGCTGGCGAGACTTCGTACGTTACGAGCTTGCTCTACGACAGCCTATGTATGTTCATCACTCGATCCTCATTCCTGCGTGAAAGTTGACTGACAATTTTGAAGATCCTAGCAACTCGGTGTATGTGCTACTTCCTTATTTATCGTTCTTGAGATTGCTGGGAGTGCGGGCTGATGCTGTGTTAGTATCAAGAACGATCTGGAATACGTCGCCAACTACTGGCAGGCCAACGGCTTCGACCTGTGGGAGGAGGTTGCCGGCCAGCACTTCTTCAACTACATGGTTCAGCAGCGCGCTCTGGTCGAAGGTGCCGAGCTGGCCACGCGTCTCGGCGACACCGGCGCTGCCACCTGGTACACCACGCAGGCCACCGCCATCAAAGCCGCTCTCCCCAACTTCTGGAGCTCCAGCAAGGGCTACCTCCTGTCCACGCTCAACACCGGCCGCGACGGTCTCGACTGCGGCACCCTTCTCGGCGCCCTCCACGGCAACGGAGCACGCGGCTTCGGCATCTACCCCGCCAGCTCGGACGAGGTCCTCGTCACCCTGCAGAAGCTAGTCGACGTCATGAACCCTCTGTACCCGATCAACGCGCAATCCGGCGCACCGGGCATCGCCATCGGGCGCTACAGCAGCGACGTATACGACGGCGTAGGGACCTCCACCGCGCACCCCTGGTTCATCTGCACATTCACGGTTGCCGAAGTGCTATACACAGCGATCAACCAGTTCGCCGCGCGCGGCAGCATCATCGTCTCCTCGCGCTCCCTCAGCTTCTACCAGAAATTCTATTCTTCCGCCACCGCGACTACCTACGCCGCCGGCTCCACCGCGTACGCAAACATCGTCACCGGAATGAAGAACTACGCAGACACCTTCATCGCCACCGGCCAGGCTCACGCCGCCACTAACGGCAGTCTGAGTGAGCAGTTTGGAAGGTCTGATGGCCTGCAGAAGGGTGCCAGGGGTACGTTGCGTCCGGTCCCGTCGAGTTCCTTCGGTTTGATTGGTACGATACTGACGAGGATGTGTAGACCTCACCTGGAGCTATGCCAGTTTCTTGACGACGAAGTGGGCGAGGGATGGGGCCACCGCGTACTAAGTACGCCAGCGCTGGAGGAATCGGCGGTGTGAGTGTCACGCGTACTGCGAGGTTATGGCGTAACCGCGGAAATGGAAAAAGTTGTTTTTTTGGCTGCCCAAATCCATGAACATTGAAGACCACGTGAACTGTGCGCGACATCCATGATCACCTGCAAACATCTACCACATCCCAACAGCCTTCAATACTCTACTCTACCTATGGGGAATGTGATGAAGCCGGGATAACAGAATGCAACTTCAATCGTGAGTACAAGACTGGGAGAGGCAGGCTGTTGGTAACATGCAGGCAGTAACGACGGTATTGATATTGATATTTGTCGCCACTCGCAACTCCCTTTGTCGAGTGATCGTCTATGTTTCTTCGGCCGCCACCACCGTCTAGGACTCTAGGACTCTAGGACTCTAGGACTCTAGGACTCTAGGACTCTAGGACTCTAGGACTCTAGGACTCTAGGACTCTAGGACTCTAGGACTCTAGGACTCTAGGACTCTAGGACTCTAGGTAGAAGGGGAAGGGGAAGAGGGCAAAGATTCTTCCATCCCACAAATAAACCTTCGTCAATATATATCAAGAGGGTGGACTGGGTAAGTAAAAGTAAAGCATTGGGTGCGATACTACAACCTACAGGATCGAAATCTTGCCGTGCGAGGTCGAGACAGAACACAGAATTCACAGGACACACAGGACACACAGGACGAGCGCAGATATGACGATCCAGCTTGTTACTGGGTAAAGGATATGGAAAACAAGATTCTGTGTGGTTAAAAGATAAAGGAACTACTCCTCCCGCTCCCGAATGCTGGGTATCTAGGTACATTAAGTACCTGCTAACGATGCCCGAGCTTGTCATGTCACGTCTGAATACGTGTACCCCCCAGCTCCGCGCATTTCCAAATTCCGGGAGTCGGGACGGGACGGTCGACCGGATCTCGCCGGTCGGGCGGTCACTCGTCCACGAGTCACGAGTCACGAGTCGCGAGTCGCGAAAGGTAGCGGCATCGGAGTACTAGTGGTTTCAACTTTCGAGGCTGCCGCGGACCGGATAGATCCGAGCCATCAGGCTCTGTAGGCTGTACCTATCTAGTTGATCTTGCGTATCCGCCATCGATTCGGCGTTGCGTGTGACATCGTCCCCGTTCGAGCTTCGCATTCCGACGGCCGAAGACAACTCCCACCGTCCACGCGGGCGGACTAGGTTTCCGGCAATGAGCAATCCAGCATCCATCAGCCTTCGAGCGGTATGGATGGTAGGGACGGTATTGACGGTAGAACCGGTAGGGATGGTAGGAACGGTTCGAACGGTTGGGACGGTAGGGGCGGTATCAGAACTCGTTACTCGTTACTCGTGGCGATTGCAAATGGCAAATTTGAATTCCCGCTTGCAATCCCTTAGCCCGCTTGCTAAACTTCAAAGGCTTGACTGGTAGGCACAGAGTTCGCGACAGCGCGGCATCGTGGCATGGAGGGATCGAGGCAGCGGGGCAGTGAGGCGCAGGCTTCCTGACGGTGACTCCTGAGTCCTGACTGCTTGCCCGGAAGTTTTAACTAGGTATTCGAAACGCGGGAGTTGTAACGCGGGAGTTGGAAGTAGACTTCCACGCGTCCGTCCACCAAGCCATGATTCGAAGGTGACCTAGTGCACGTGACGTTCATACGCCCCCGGGCCGTGGTGATAGTTGACCGGTCGCCGGAATGCCGTGATGTGATGGCAGCAGAGCACTGCGGTACGTCGGTACCAGCGTACCACCGTGCCAGTGTGCAGTGTGCAGCCCGTCGACGGACGGGACTCGGGTTGAGGTGGCGATCTGCCGCACATACGCGTAAGTAGTGGGGCTATTGATCGTGAGAACGGACTGGGTAGGTAAGTAGCTACGAGGAATGATAGGGACAGCAGTGCAGTGCAGTGTTCTCCATCGGCTGGTCCGTCTGTCCTGGGCTGAAGACGAGGACGAGGACGAGGGCGGACGGCGTGGCTCCTGTACGTCCGCCCGAGCTTGGGACGAGACGGCATTGTTTTATCATTGGACGGACAAGACAGCCGACGACGGCCGTCCGTCCGCCAGCCCGTGGGTAAAACCCTGATTTTGGCCGTGGACTTTATGTGGCCGAGTGAGACATGGTGCCCGTAGCGCTGTGCGAGGGGCCGGGGGCGGCACTTTAGGCGGCCGAATCGGAATACCTACTCTTATTTTTCGCAGCTTGTGGAGCTGTGAGGGTTGAACTGGCGCGGTGGAGTGTAGGATATCAGTACTATGTAAAAAATCATCAATCAGCCGAATCATGTTGACATATTCACGTGACGTGGATGGTCGTCCTCCACGTACCGTTGGATGGGGACCGACCCGTACGTCCCAGGCTCGGACTTGACGGGCGGATCTTGCAATCGTCCGGCGCAGGCTCGGAAAGTCCGAGATTTCGGCCGTCCGGACTGGACGATGGAGAACATTGCATAACCAGCTTCCGCCTCTTCGCAGGAGATGGGTCTCTCAGCGGCTATGTCGGGAATGGGTTGTACTCTACGTGATGAAAGGTGTACGAAGAAAGGCTGGTAGGTCTGATAGAGGTTTTTAACCGCAGAGAAATGGACGGAAAAGTGGGTGTGATGGTGGAGATGGAACAGCTTCACGGTACCGGATTAGGTTAGTTCTCGTGACATGTAAACCCATTACCTGACCACCAAACTCCTCTCCTCGCTGTTACCTACTTCATATGCTCTCCCAATTTTCGTTTTCTTTTGCGCTCCCTGCTTTTCGGTCACTTTTTCATTATATAGTTTTCACTCTTTTTTTCTCCTTTTCTCTCTTTTTCTCTAACTACCTTTTTGTCTCGGTGGGCGCTCTACTGTGAATCCTTGCGGACCACGTGACAGCGCGACCCGCACGGAAGTGCGCCAGTACGTATCTTAACACGTCAATTCCACCCGCCACTGCAGACACGAAGTGATAGCTTTGTACTCTACCTATGCCAAATATGAAGCAGCTGGAATACAATAATGAGAATCTGCGAGCCGAAGAGGCGAACCATGGGCAACATGAAGCCAGCCACGACAACGATGATAGTAGTCAAAATTCCCGTATGTCGAGTGACAGTCTGCGAAGCTATATTATAACACGGATCAGGCGAATTGAGTACTTCTGTGCAATACGTATTACACAATCAAAATCATTCGATGCAAGGACAACATACAGGACGATCTGAGCTCAATACGACAACCGAGCTAGTTGAAGAACTACGAAAACAAGCTGCCGCGTGGCTGCAAGACACAACAAACGATCCTCGCACTCCCAGGTACATAGCTACCGAAGTCCTTGCTAGTCCCGCCCGAAGGCCGAACCCGCGTGCCACATCGGCGCCTTCGCACGGCGGTCGACCGGATCTCGGGCTGTCACTCGCGCACGAAGGGATACGTCATCCGAGTCGTTTCGAGGGTAGGCGTGGGACAGGGCCTCCAGCGCTGCCGGTGATCTTCCATATGCACCATTGTCGATGTGACGTCGCGTCGCGGAAATAACGGCAGTGACAGACCTCCATTCGATGGATGTTGCTGGCGTCGATGTCGTGAGTGAAAACCCGAGCTGGGACTGTTTGCGCTGGTTCTCGCGGCGATGTGGAAATATGTTTTGCTACCTCCACGTGCGGGGGCCGGGGAGAGGTGGTAGGGGCGGTGGTTGAGGGATGAGACTCCGGTGCAGGCGAGGAACGGATTGTGAGAATAAAAGACGAACGGTCTTTCACCATGCACTGTGTGTTTTCCAGAATGCATCCTCGCGATTAGATCGGAATCAATCGCCTAGGCCAGGCAATACGGAGTCGAATCAGCGGATAGGGATGTCCCATACTATGGTAGGATCTTGAATATGGGCCCGCGTGTCCTTCGCCCAGTTTGCCAACATTTTCGCACCCATAATATGTGCCTCATCACCAAAGACGAAGAGCATGTGTAGAGGGGAACAACCGTCTTCCGTAGTCTGCACGCTGATACTAGTATCGAGGAGCTGGCTCGCCGTTGCGACATCTGCTCGGAACAGCGCGTCAAGCAACTCATTCCCAGGCGCTACTCCAATCATTCCGGCTCGGAGACCACGGATGACGCAGGAATAGTACGTTTCAGTGAGCTTTCCCGAGACTCCGGTACACAGCTGCTCTCCGAAGATAGTCGCTACGGGGTGGCTCAGCTCCTGGGCCTGTCGTATGGCCTCGGCAGCTTTATCGAGTTGCGTTGAGGTACCAAATCCCAGGATGTGGCATAATGCCAACTGAAAAGTCATGCTCCCCTTCCGATCTTCGGCGGTCGCTCGGGTGGACGTCTTCTCGAGTTCTTGAAATATCTGCTCCTGATAGTTCCATAGGAGGTGGTCGTAGTCGAAGAGCTGTGCAAATGGCATCAGAATGCAATCCGTTTAAAATTAAATAAAAGTAGTTCTGGCTCACGTCGCATGTTAAGTCTGAGTTGCCCACGTGTTTCGCAAGCTGTGCCCGGAGATTCGTTTGTCCGGTTACGCTGGAATTGTCAGTTAGTAAGGGACTACCTATGCAGGATAGATTGACACTCACTTCCACGCCGTCATTATGGGAAATGCTTTTAGGTTGCTTCGACGAGCGACTGGATCAATCTGGAGTGTGTTGGAAAGTAGTGCGCGAAGAGCTGCCTTCGCGAAGTCACCACAGAAGGAGTCCTGGTTTGGCATCTGTCTGAGAAAGGTCACGGCGTACCCACGAAGGAGCGAAAAGTCGAAATTCTCAAATGCGATCTCTTCGGGAACACCAACTGACTCGATAATAGAGGTATCGGCCATCCACCGGCTATCAAAGTAACGTCCGCCGTCCTTCAGAATCTCCCAAACAAGTAGTCCGAATGCCCAGATATCGCATTTGTGAAGATTTTCGGGGGATATCTGGGTAGTCTCTTGACGGGGTACCTCGGGAGCATTGTACCTGCGAAGCGTCAGACCAGCCCTGGACGAGGTGCGGGAAGCGGAAGCCACTCACAGAGGCGTTCCGGCATACGGCGTGTATTGCGTCTCGTACTCCGATACTATCAGAGAATGGCCGAAGTCGCATATCTTCGCGATTGCGCCGCCGGGACGATCCCAGGAATGGAATACCAGCACGTTGTCCAGCTTAACATCTCCATGCACTATGTCGCAATCGTGAAGAGCTGTCAAACCCGCCGCCACGTCCCCGATGAAAACAACCTTGTCCATGAAGGCTACCTTATGATCGCTGTCCTTCAAGTAGGTCCTAAAATTCCCCAGCTGAGCGTAGTCGACCACCACGAAGGGAACCAAATCTTCCATGTTCCAGCCGTAACCGATCAGGTCGAGGACGTTCGGATGGCTCCGAAGAGGCGTGTGATGCATGATGCGAAGATCCACGAGTAAGTTGGCCAACCGCTTCCCGAGCTTCTTCGCATCCGTGTTGCCCGACTCTCCCATCTTCAACCGCTTCACCGCTACCGGATTCCCCGCGTAGACACATCTCTCCACCGTAAATGTCTCGCCCTCGTCGATGGCGTTCAGTCGTTCGAGCTCGTCCATGCGGCAGTTTTTTACGTTCAACTTCTGCAGTGTCCGCAACGCCTCCTCCAGACTGCCCAGCACCGAGCGATCATATGCATAACTCGCGGTGAAGCCGAAACCGCCGACAGAAGATATGGCCGTCCGCGATAGTCGAGTCGCCCAACTCTCGGTAGGCAAGCTGTGGAAATCCCTGCTCTCGCTTGGCGTGCACTGTGCTGTCGTCGGCGCGCTCCCTCCCGCGGTGTCCGCCGAACTCACAGTCATGGTCGACATGATTGCCCAGATGGTGAAGTTGTCTCTGCGTTGAACTTAGTTCTCAAAGAACGACGCGAAACGGACGACGCGCAAAGGACGGCAAACGTTCGCACAACATAACCATGCAGCGGTGGACGGATTTAGGAGCTGGATGCGATGGCCAACTCAGCCGCACCGATCGCGCACAAACAGCGCGTAGTGGTGCGCGCAACTTCCCCGCACATACACACAGCCACTGGCGAGGTTCCAGCCCACGTGCGGGGTTGGAGATGTGCGGTTCATCAACTTCACCCGACCCCATCAGCAACCATACCGCACGAAATGTCGGGACTCGAGGTCGCGGCCATTTCACTCACCGTCGTCGAACAGATCTTGAAGCTGGGATTCTTAACGACCGAACTTGTCCGGACGGCGAAGGACTTTGACGAGGCACGACGCGCACTCCCGCGGCCAGCCGGCGCTGCAAACCGTATGTTGGCGATCAGCTAATCCGACCGCTAGGACTCTTCTCGATTGTTTTTACGCACACGCCACGAGCTCACGCGCACACGTCAACTCAAAGAGTTACTGAGCACGCCGATATCTTCGCAGGACGACCAAGACACCCCCTTCAGTCGATTCGATGCCGAGATCCAGTCCGAGATCGTGGACATGTTCGAGCAGCTCGAAGGAATCATGTCAAACGTCTATCGCCTTGTGTGGGGGAGATACGGAGACGCAGTGGATACGGCTCCCTACCAACGCAACTCAGTCGAATGGGGTAGCACACCGGACAACAGCCCGTCGCAGAGCTCGACATTCTTGTCGGCCACTCTCGCAGGCAGACGGTCGTCACTAGTGCGATCTCCATCGAGCAGTACGTTAGCAAAAATGCGGTGGGCGTGGAAAGACAAGAAAAAAGCGGAGCAGTTACTGGCCGACTTCAACGACATGAACGCGGCCATCTATAACCAGATAAAGCTTCTTCTACTTTCGTCAACGCTCGGTCGAGATCTCGAATACTGCCGAACACTCGAGAGAAGCGGGAATGCCAAGGCATTAGGTCTCGATTCGGACGTGCGCTTGCGCATCATGGCCCTCGACGAGCAGTCGGCGGTGGAGCAAGCCAAGCTAGAGATCGAGCCTTGGTCGATCACTTTCGACAACGATCTCGGAAGCTCGGCGTCGACTCGCTCTCGCGACACCGGCGTCTCCATCTGCAAGCTCGGGACGGAGCAAGTCGCGCTCGAATACAAAACCATTCCGGTCGGCAAGGCAATCCAGCAGACGGTGGTCGCTCGCGCGCGACAACTGGCCGCCCTGCTTAGCCAGGACAAGGACCCCAGTTTTCGCGTCCTACAGTGTTGCGGTTATGCTCACCTTGCCAGCGAGAACCGGTTCGCGTTTCTGTTCAGGATCCCGTCCGGCTACGAACCGCAGCCGATTTCCTTGCTTGGGGAGCTAAAGAATCGGAAGTCCAGGCCGTCTCTCGGGGATAAATTTCGACTTGCGGTGGTCCTCGCATCCTCTATGGCTCAGCTGCATATGGTTCAATGGGTATACTGCCTCCAAGAACATTTCCCACTGAGATGTTCGGGTCAGATTGATTGACCAATACGGTTTCGCCCGCCCTGCCTTACAGGTACACAAATCCTTCCGCAGCGCAAAGATCGTCTTCTTTCGCCCCAGCGACTCCCAACGGCGTGCCATCGAATTCGATAAACCGTTCATCTTCGGCTTCGAGTACAGCCGACCGGAAAACGATTTCACCGCCGGCGTTCAATCCGACGACATCGAGAATGATATCTACCGTCACCCCGACCGCCAAGGACAACCATCGCGCCCCTTCTCCAAAATACACGATATCTACGCGCTCGGTGTGTGCCACAGTGTCTTCCCAGGAGAATGCTTGCTAATCTTTCGCCACCACCTAGGCGTTGTGCTCCTAGAGATCGGATTGTGGCAGCCAGCCATCGAACTCGAGCAAAATCAGTTCTCGACCGCGACGGATCCGCACGGAGTGCAGAAGCAGCTGCAGAAACACGCGGCGAGGAGATTGAAGGACAAAGTGGGCGAGAAATATACTGCGATCGTGCAGAGATGTCTGTCGGGAGACTTCTCGGTCGATCATGACACGAAGGATGATCTGAAGTTGCAGAGATTGTTCAGGGAGGAGGTTATTTCGGTGCTGGAGAAGATAACGATGTATATATGACGGGCGCGGAGATGGGTGTAAATATGGGTTGATTGATGGGCTTCGTGGGTGTGCCGTCATCGAGAAAAAGAGGAGCTGGACGACCAGAAATAGTGACACCACAATCAGTTAAACGTTGAACGACCTTATCGGGTCTCCCCTCAGAAACACTTCGCGTCACCTACATCACACTTGGTCTCACCAGCTCCCGACAAGGTCTCACTCCCCCATCAGTTGGTCCCACCCAGGTCTCGACAAGGTCTCCGCTCTCCGGCACTCACAAATGACGTCACGCGACCCTCGGTACTCTACATCGGCACAAGGTCAATTCTGGCAGTCCGGCTCCAAGAGTCCAGGCAATATTCCGCCATAAGGAAGTGTGGCGTTGTACTATAGTTAGCCTCCTCATTTAGTGGCAAATCGACTTTAAAGTTTACCGAGAGGCTCGCATGTGTCACCCGTGCCAGACCAAGCTCCTAGAGCACGCGGCTCTACTTTTGATGTGTCATCAGCCCAGGAAAGGATTAGCGGTGGAGGCAGAACATATCCGAGCCCCGGCTACGCGCGAACAAGACCCCCTGTTGTCTGCCATCCCAACTTCCCAAGTGGCAGGAAGAGATGGAGGATCAGATACGATACTTGCACGAATGTGATAGATGTAATAGACGAGATTAGGGGTAGATTATAGTAGATGGTGAACGATCTACCGGCACCGGCAGGGGAACAGGCGACGGATTACCTCGGAAGGAGGAGATCGCGAATGGAGATGCGATTAGTTCAAGCTAGCTACTATAGAGGTGCCCTTTACTGCGGATGGAACTGTGACCCGTGGTGGTATACCTAGAGGGATCGTGTCGTCTGCCAGCTCCGAGCGAGGAAGCCCACGAAGGTTGGATGGATGATCAGATAAGATAAGGGGAGACTCCGATCGGTGGTTCTAAATGGCGGTGTCAGCTAGACTACTCTAGCCGGATCGAGTGACACCGAACGTTGTAAGCAGCGGAGGAGAGCCATACTTGATGCCTCTTCGAGGTTAAATACAACATCAAGTTCATAACCATCTTTCATTTTCGCCGTTACTCTTCCAAGGTTACGTCAGATAACGTTTTCATCTTACTCAATCGCTCCTCCACCGGCGTACATAACCCCCACGGTTACACACAGAAGCTGAGTGCCCTATGCATGAGCCGCTGGAGAAAACAACATTCCAGCCGCCCAACTACCTTGGAGAAGATTGGGATTGCCAAGAAGTGCCTGAGCAGTGAGCACCCGATTGAGAATCGGGAATATAGTCAAAATTGAATCACAAAATTTGGATCTGCACCGGATATTGACCGTTCTGACATCACAAATCATATCGCTAAGGGGGAGCTAGAGTAGGGGGATTCTTTGAGAACCCATACATTTCCATTGAGGCTAGCAGAGCTATAGGCGATGAAAGCAACGATACGGGGTCACACGAATGAATCAATGGCAGCAGATTTCCTATTTACCCAGCTATCTGTTCCACCAAATATCCCGCTATTCGTTCGCGAATCCCACCTCCACAACCCCGAATGCACTCCCGGCCGTTTCTGTAAACTTCATAATCCTCAACCTTGTGTCTGCATTCTGCAGAAGCCTCTCCCAATCCGTCCTCTCACGCTCCTTGCCAGCCAGCAACGCCATCATGAACATATCGCCGGTTCCCTTCGCCTTCCGGACGACGTTCGGTGCGTCGGCCGAGGGGATGAAATCTACGATTAAGATCTTAGCGGTGGGCTTCATCACGAGTGTTATGTTGCGAAGGATCGTGGCGGCGTGTTTGTCCGAGTGGTCGTGCATGATGTGGCGGAGGAGAAAGACGTCGGCATCGGCGGAGGTCGGGGGCTGGGGAGTAAGGAAGTTGTGGACCTCGAAGGCTATCTGTGAGTGCGGCTCTGCGAGGGCGATGATGGGGGCGAGGTCTTGGACAATGAAGCGCAGGTTGTTGTGCTGGGCGGCGATCAGGGCGCTGACCTCGCCGAGGGAACCGCCGACCTGGAGCGTTTCAGTAAGGAACTGTACGGTGCATTCGGTAAAGACTCACATCAACGACTAGCGCATTTCCGATCCCGGCCCAGTCGAACGCATCGAGAAGATGCTCGGGACTATGGGTCCTCCCGCCGGTATCACCCTGCTGTACCATGAAGCCCATGAACCCGGAAAGCGCCTTCATCCTCTCCTTCTCCTCATCCCGCTGGATGAACTGATAGAAAGACTCATCCGTGCCGAAAGCAACATTGAATGCTGTCTGCGTGGGCTCATCCACAGTTCCGTATTTGGCCACCGCCTCCTGGAAGTTCGATGCCACCCGGAACCCGGTGTTGAGAGCGGTGGTAACGTAGTCCCGCAACAGGGAATTCTCTAGGAGTGCCCGCGAGGCGGCATTGTGTGAGACGTTGCCGTCGGACTCCGAAAAGATCCGCATCGTGGTGGCGTGGCGGATGATGCGTGTGACGATCTCCTCAGAGACCCCGGTGCTGGCAGCGATCTCAGAGAATGTGGCGCTGCCGGTGATGGGAACGGCTTCGGGGATCCTGAAACCATTGACGGCGCGAAGGGCCATGCATTCGAATTGCGGCTAGAAGGGAAGGGAGGAGAGTGATTAGGGTTTAAGCCGAGGAGATGAATGAAAAATGTGAAGGCCGTATGTACGTACAATCAACGCGGCTGTTGCAACCGCATGGGTCGGCCCGGCAGCAAGATCTGAAAGTTCCTTATTGAGCTCCATCAACGCGGTGCGAGACTCTAGAAGTTTGGCAGTCTTGGTGCTCGCGACGATCGGGAAATCAAGCGGCCCGGAAGAGTCGAACGACGGCTCCGGAAGCCCGTTTTCCTCGATGTAGGCATCGAGGGTTTGAGCGTGCTTGAGGATCTCCTTGGCAAGGGCAGTGAGAGACATTGTTGCTACTATTGAGGTGGATAATGCTAGGATTGAGATACATAGGAGCGTATTTGAAGTGAATACTCCTCAAGCTACCCAGAGTCCAGCAGATGTACGGAATCCCGCATCTTGCATCACGGACCCGGAATACCGTCTATTGTATTCCTTTTGCTACAATATCCGCCCGATGCCTCCCCAAATTGCGATCCCGCGATTCCCCCCATCTCGATCACACGGTAGACGGGGGCAGCTGCGCTCTGCAGTTACCTCATACACCTACGTGCAGCGCGCGCTCGACAACGGCGCCAATGGCGTCACGGATTTAAACGAGCCTGCATTTCCAAGAAGTACCCCACGTTTACCCCGCCTTCGTGCGTCCAGTGTATGCAGCCTGACATACAGTGCGCTCCAACTTTCTTCAAGCGGGGTCACCCGGCGGCGCACTGAAATGATACGAATGATTGAGAGGGGCATGGGCTCGGATTATGCACTGTCCAGGCCTCTTGGAATTCTCTTTCCATCGATGGAATCGTCGTTGAGAACCGTAGGTATCGTCCTAATTGTAGGTCACTTTGCAGCATCAGCCTGTTTCTTCCCTGGGCTCGATCATTTCCACTTGTCCAAGTCTTGCGGATATCCGCTAAATAAGTCTCGGTCGCTACCGATACCGCCACGTGAACGATCAGTTGACAGTTCAAGCTAAGCTCGCGCTTTCGATTTTTCGGCCCGCGCCGGCTCGGCTACGTTAGGTGCAGGGTGGCAGCAAACACCAGGCCGGACTCAAAAGAAAATTCCATGTGGAGTCCTGATTAAGCTCCCGTGACGTGGCGCCCAGCTACACTAATCCGAAACAGACTGGTGTGTGGGTCCACCCAGCCTTTCACTCGTCTCTCGTGCCTCTCCAGTCTTCTCTTGTGCCTGTCGTATCTCCGTCAGGTGGTGATGACGTGCCGATTATCCTGCCTGCGGAGGAGGTTTTAGAAAGTATGTCTCCAACAAATCACAACCATCACTCGGTCTCGAAGTTGTGGAATATTTTGTGTCATTTCACAAGGTATAATCAACCACAGGACTATAGTGGGGATCTCAAGGGCTAACGATGAGAAAATAACGACGAATGCGCTAGGAAAGCAAAAACAGGCAGAGGAATCGAGGAATTATGCGAGCAGAAACAATCGCCACATCGGTCTTGCGGAACAATCATGAAGTCAAAACTGAGAAAGAAACGCAAATCAGAAACAAGGAAATGTAACATAGAATTCATCCCCACTTTGTTGCTCGGCAGCTCCCTTCTCCGGCGGTTAGGCAAGATTCCGCCCCCGCGCGCTGCGGTGAATCGTGCGGGATCATAACAGGCGGATAGAGAGTAAACATCGGCACAGTTCAAGCTGAGTTACCAAGGTATATCTACCGCCCTTATTTCAGCATGAAACCTAGAGAATGGGAAGTAACTCGTACACATACTTCTAAGTTCCGTTCAAATACCGACACAACCTGTGCCTGGACTTCATTTTTATAGCGAGGATCGGCCAAGTCCTGTCGAATCAGCTCGGCACGTCTTAAGCCATTGACGCAACGTTCTACTGCGCCGCCGTATGCGGTAGCCTGGGTGGAGTACACATATCCAAGACAATCCAACGCGGTCGTGTAGTCGGGATCGTCACATGATTATGAGATGGGGCCGCCGGTAATCTTTCCAGAGGATCGGAGGTCTTCAATCGGCTTTCCCAATGCCAACTCGATCAAGATGATGCCCAGGGAGAATAAGCTATAATGGTGATCCGCCAAGCTCCCGGCACCCGGGGGTGGTGATGATGTGTCGGGATGCGGGTGAAAGATGCGTTGAACGAATGATTGCTCGAGTATGGGTTCTCAGACGATGGTGCGGGTACCTGAAACAACCTGCTCGCGCTCGACCTCTCGGTGAAGAATGAAAATGTCCTTTTTGCCCCAAGTGTTGCCTAACCACTGTGTAGTATGAAGTTGCATGAGAGCGAGCGCAATCTGGACACCCAATTTTAGCGCCTCGACCGGGTGCAGTCCACCCGTCTTGAGAACAGCATCAAGTGGTATCGCTCGTATCTTTTCGAAGGGGAATGCGATCACGGTGCGTGGCCGTAAGCAATTCCAGGCGACGTTTCTCTCTCCCAGAAGTGCACCCAAAGATATCGCCGACGCAGAACTCCCATTGAAGCTTTGGTGCACCGCTTGCTGGATCACCGAACACAGATTTTCGATTGCCTTTTCCTTTCCACCAGACGGTATCGTTGGTTTGATGGTGGCTGTGATGGACTTCGCTTCGTCGGGGATGTTGTATCGGACACTGTTACGGTGTCTGGGGACAAGTCAGCGAGACTCGTAGAAATCCGTGGAGAGAAATTACTTTCCGCTTCTCGAGGTGGCGGTCAGTGAAGGAGAGAGAGCTATACCGGGCACCTTGGTCTGGCTGGCGCTGGTTCGCGCACATAAAATTGTTGCCATACTACTGATCAGCCTCCGACCTGTCCCCCGGGGCTTCTCGGGTGTTGAATTTTCCGTTGGGTAGAGTCCTACGGCATTGGAGGAGGCTTGGAGCGCCATTGATTCCGAATCTGATGTTTCAAGTGGCTCAAAATCTAATCCTCGCCAGCTAGTGCTGGCATCAGACGATTTGACGTTGAAGAGGAAGAGTACTTCGAATCTGATAGGCATCAGTCCTTTCTCCTTTGCCAGTCCGCGGACCCTTGGAAGCCGAAGAGTTGCATTGTGAGGGGCGTTGCAAGGATACGAGCTGGTATCTTGAAGTTTTTGTTTAAATACTGCGTGGAGGTTGATCGCAAGCTCGCGTGCTTGGATGTCCTCTGTCGTCGCTGTCGAAAGTTTTGAAAATTTTCGAATACTTGCAGGAAGCTGCATCGCAACACGTTCAAGCTGGCCGTTGGTTGATTTGATCCCTGCAAGGCGATCGTCCCGTCGTAGTACAGCTTCTATCTGGCTCCATTTCATCTTTCTAGAGTACTTGTCTTTGTCGACCTATTACTTCGTCAGTGGTCAGTCCGCTCAAAATTACTTCATAGCTGTAGTAGGAGTAGTAGTAATAGTAGTAGTAGGGTTTGGCACACTGGTAAAACGCCGTCAAGGATTCCGAGATCCTGCTCAAACTCCCGGAGAATAACGCCCATTGCTTCCATGCCGTCAATGAAAACCGATGCATTTTTTTCGCCCCAGCAGTCATGAAGATGTGTTTTAAAACTGTCATCCCAGCCCACACCTCGCAGTAGCTCCACCGCCTGTTCAGCCTCGAATGTTCCATTCAGCATGCTTGCGCAAGTGTTCTGAAACAAAACGTTCTCGGCCTTCAGCTCCCTGAGAAGGCTATTCATGCCCCGCCGCCACCGCAGTACATCCTGGAACATGTGAGTCGCATTGGCGTAACCAGAGATCTCCTTTACTAGGAGCGGGAATATGGCTAAAGCCAGACCAGCTACTTCGGCCATGATACTCTCCAGCCGAGAGTGTGAAAGATGTGCTTGGTGCCGGAAGCTAGAGGTTTTGCGCGGGGAGTTGTGGCGGGAGTCGGATTGGGATTAGTGATTGTCTGCGGAAAAGTGGGCGTTTTCTAGGCAAGGAGGTAAGTAAGTAAGTCGTTACTACGCACCTACTGTCGGATTTACAAAAGTATGGTCTGTCGCGGTTGCGACCCCGCACGAGCCCGACAAAACCTTCCCTTGGCGTGCGGGGCAGCTTGCAGAGCTGAGTTCCATGGAACGGTACATGCACCGCTTCGATCAACGAGCACGGACTCGTGCCGAGCTCGCCCAAGATTCATTCTAACGAGCGTTATTGGATATTCTTATTAGCGGGAGCAGGGTTGAGCATCCAAACTCGCTCTCATAGGAGTGGAGGGAGTAGGGGGAGTGGACGGGAAGGGGTGACCGTCCATTCATTTTTATCGTCCCACCATCACCTACTGCTGAATAGTTGGGCGATCGATATCGTCCTCAACTTTTTGCTGACCTCCTCGCCACCACCTCATTTAATATCTGACTCAATGTTCTCGCTACTAACTGAAGGATCATCTACGAATAGTGAGCCTCTCAACCTGAGAGCTCGACGCCTTCGGCCGCATCATTACCGCCCCCCGTCACAGTGGCCGCAATCAAGCGGTTGAACTTCGGCTTTCCTGAACAATCAGATGATACCTTCAATCGTTGGCTATGCGACCAGGGGCTTCAGCCTCCTGACGCGAACCGCGACGAGCCGAATACTAGGGAAATCTTATCGAATGCCCCAGCCTCCGTTAAGCTACCGTCGATAGCGCCCCCGCCGATACCGTGTGCAGAGGTAGCCCAAGCAGAGCGGAAGTCAAGTGCTGAAGCTTTGGAATCTGAACCCGCAGGTAGCGGCCATGCACGTTCCAAATATGTTGTATTCGCGCATCGAGCCTGTGTGCGATCTTTCAAGCTACTGGACGGGAGCAATGTTCCTCGGATCCTGGGCGATATAAGGGGAAGGTTCAGAGTGTGGACAGCTACGTCGGGTGCCCATCGGCAGGATAAGATGTCGCTGGACTATCGACTGCGAGAATCGACCGAACTGAAGGAAATGGTGATCGATCTGCTCGAAGCCTTGAACTCCGCTCTCCAGGAAGGTGAGCTATGCAAGGAGGAGGCACGTGTTCTAGCTAACCCGCCCCTCACAAGCCATTCCTATACTTTAGGGCGGCGCCAGTTTGGACGATACGGAGCTATACCCGGACTCCTCGGACGAGGAAGAACAACCCGCTGGACCGACAAAGGAGCAATCTGTGTTCCCGAAGTTCAAAGATAAGCTGGAGGGGTGCATATGGGAAGCGAACCACATCATGACGAGCCTATACCGATTCTCTGTCGCCATCCAGAACCCAGCGCCACGCGATAAACTTGAAAGGTGCTCGGTCATAGATATGTCCGAATTTCGGCCACTCGACACAGCTCTGGTAAACTATTACTCGGACACGTCAGGTCACATTCCCGACTACTTGATCGGAAGACTCGGTAATGTGAACACTAGCCGTCGCCAGTTGATGGAATACTATGAGAAGCATCATGACAAGATCGCAGCCCCTGAAGTATGGCATGTACCAGCGACGGAAGAGCATGATACCCTTCCACATTTGGGCGCACCGAGAGGCATCCCATCCGATAAGAAACACGCCGGTATCTTCGGGGACGATACTGGCAACGCGGAATTGCCTGGCATTACGGCAGAGACCCAAACGATGGTCACCCAGGCTCACGACATCCAACTAGATGCTGTTGACACTCAATCGGATGCAGGCTGTACGGAAACATCCTTTGCCCTGGCAGAATCGACGATGGCCCATTCACAACAAGTGTTCCGGATTCGGGTACCGAGGATCCCCAACCAGGGAAAGAGTGAAGGTGAACCGTTCCAGTGTCCATGTTGTTTCGCAATCATAGCCGTTTCTAGACGTATATCCTGGACGTAAGTCGAAATCACTCTGGTTTTCCTGCTTTAGCATTGCGCATGCCCTCTCCCCTACTGCCCCATTCTATACAGAAACATAACTCATGTTATAATGGTCTTGACACTATGTAGGAGGCACGTATTCGAGGATCTACGTCCTTATGTGTGCACTTTCCAGAACTGCCACAGGGCAAATCACCTTTTCGCCAGCCGACACGAATGGTACGACCACGAGGGGACATTCCATCGTCGAGAATGGTACTGCAAGCCGTGCAATTTTGTTTCACGTTCTCAGCCGGATTTCTAAAACCACCTACGGGAGAATCACTCGGGTCTGGGAAATGCCTTGTCCAAGTGCGAAAAGCCTATACAGGGTCTGCAGCAATGCGCTTTATGTCTTAAAAGTTCCGGTGGCCCCCGGTTCGACAACATTTGGCGTGTCACATGCAGCGGCTTGCACTATTGGTCCTAAGGTCACGCCAACAGGACAACACCAGTGTATCAGACGGCGAATCCAACCGTGATTTCCGGGGAAGCAGCAATTTGGAGTCCGAAGCGAATAGATCGCATTCGGGCGAAGAGAATGAACAGCTCGAAAGATGCGAAAATATCCTGAGGGAATTCCTCCAGAAGAAGCCTGGATTGACCAAAGCCAAATCCTTTTTCCCGGATTATAATATTGGCACAGATACCATCAAAAAAGCTGCCAATATGATCGCCAAGCTAATCGTACAAGGCTGTCGCCCGGGAATGGCAGAGGAATTTACGCTTTTAGTCCTGTACGATCTGGTCATTCTGGTTGGTGAGTAACGTCGGCACCCTTCGTGCAGGACTGTCTAACATGCCCCGGCTCAGACGACAGTGACTCAATGCAGTCCGAAGAGGGTGGCAAGCGGAGGTGGATCTTGCGCAAAACGTTTGAAGCAGTCTTAAGTGTGTACAGGCTTGCCCGGACGGAGAGAATTGTGTCCATCCGGTTTTTCAATAAAAAGCAGGGACAAAAAAACGTCACCGAGGAGGGTCTTGACCGGATATTCGCGAATCTGCAGTTCGGAGGTCTGAGATAGGTACAGAGTTGCAAAATAAAATACTGGCATCGTTCGTTCAGAAAAAGGAAATGGAAGGGCCTTTACTGGCCATGGTCCTCACCGATGGCAGTGTAAGCTCATCGCTCTCTGTACAAGACTGTACTGACAAGTTCCAAGATCGAGTGTGAGCGCCAAGGCTTTCTGCCGGAAGTTATCAAAAGTAACCTAGCTTACTTACACAAATCCGATTACAGTATCGACGGTAAGCTCGATGGTGCCACAGCCTAAGATCAAATCCTGACCTCATTAGCCACCCCTCTCACATTCGCCAGAATTGGAAACGATCCAGGCGCCAAGAGACTCTTAGATAGTCTACATGAAGACCCCGTACTAGGCGAGTTTGTTTATTGTCTACCAGGTGAGCTGAATCTCTCAGTAGGGTAGGCTCCGCTGACTATTTGACTAAGTGGACTCTCACCTAGAAGATCTCGGCAATGATGGTGGATCGCATTGGGGAGTGGTATATCTCCCCCTTCGCCGTCTCCATGGTGTCGCAGTCTAACTGAGGATTACCACCAGCTGGGAAAGCTTCTACTCGGAGATCTATACGAACATGTAGTAGGTTATTGTTATTGAAAACGTGTAAGCTCATACAACAGCGACTAGGTTACCCGAAAGCGCAAAGATAATAGGGACAAAACATAGTTGAGTCCGATCTGAGTCTATATGATTGCGAATAGGTACTCAGACGACGACAGTTAAAAGGCGATGTCGGGCGTGTTTTGGAATCGTGTATACGAGAACACTTCAGAAGCGCGATTTGATCGCCGGATATCCGTTGCAGGGAATGTTTCACGCATTGTTTTCCGTTTCATTTTCTGTACATACACGTAGTATTCAATCAGGTGTGTTTCATCGTTGCTGACACACCATGCAACGACATGTGTCAATTCAAAGTCGACTTACCCAACAAGCGCAAGAACCAAACCTTGTGGCGTGGCGTGGTCCGTTCGGTGGCCGTTCGCACGTGATTTTCAGTGGTCGGTGTGTAGTGACATGGTGGTGCGGTGAGTTGGAAGCTTGGTAATAAGAACCCACATTGGTGTGTGCGGTCTCGCTGTGAGAGTGAGCAGGAGAGAGATAATATTGATAGTTGTCGCGCACGGTCTCTTTAGACTATAACAACCAGTAGTCTCGCCGAAGATATACTTTTCGAATTTTTGGTCACGACGCCATTCCGGGCAATGGAACATACTTCGCGATCTTCCCCTGAGTTACTACTAGTCAATCCTCCCTCTCAGATCTCCTCACCAGGTCCAGTCAGCAACCCAAATTGCGTCTTCGCTTGCTGTATCATCACGTGATAGCACGTGACATCACTGGCTCAGGCACCGGGGAGCGGGGTGCACTGGTTACACGGCAATCGTGCCTCGGCTCGCCTGGCCACAAAACCGGTTCGTCACCCACAACCGCACTCCACCTATCTCTACCACCACCTCCGGCCGCGATGCAGACCACGACACCCACGGTTCCCGCACGGCACACTCCCGCCATCCACCACGACTTCGCATCGACACCATGAGCGCACGCACTGCTCAGCTCACCCACGACCACTGTGTTCGCCAGCCGTGCGATCTAGCAAACCAAGCCTGGCCGGGGCGCGAAGACTATCTCACAACGGTGACGCTGCAGACGAGACGAATTCGACGACGATAAGTATGAAGCGATAGAGGTCAATCGAGTCTCGGTCCCTGATCGGAGAACTCCATCATCAAGGGTGCTACGTCCGAACCTCAGGAGAAGTCTTACCACCGCTTCCCCGCACAGCATCTTTGCGCAGGACAACGTTGACCACGACGACTGACTTTTTGACTATCCCATCTTCGCTCCAAATATCTTCGCTACTATTCATCGGGCCCCGGCCTTGACAGCTACGCAAACCCCGAGACGACGATTCCTTTCGAGCATCATGCTGTGTGCGCTAGGATGGTTATGTTGAGGGCAGTACCCAGTGGAGGTACCTTTTGGAGAACAGGAGGGCTACGACGAGCCGCTACAGCGCACAACCCGACAAACCGAGTCTCTTCGGAGGCTCACTTTTAACTATTGTGAGGACGAGGGATTTGCTGTTACTTCTGTATGGATTTGGTGGTGGCATTCTTTTTCAAAAATTTTGTATTGTAGGTACCTCTATCAGCCATAACCTTGGGGTTCCATGCTGTATGAATAGATAATCAATCAATCAATCAATGGGAGCGCTTTGTAGGAAAGAGATGGTAGATGAGATCATGACGATTGATTAGATAAGCTACCTAAATTAAGTAGGGGGTTCCTATCAGTTACCTAATGGTGGAGCTCAGACGCTAGGCGCCGCTGGGTTAGGGCCCGTTTGGATGGCCTCAGTTTTCAGTTCCACGTTTAAGTGCGAAATTCAGTTCCCCGCCGGGACACCAAATACTGTCCAGTTTCAGTTTCTGGAGAACTGTGAGGTGAACCGAGTGTTCGGCAGTTCTCAGATTACTCAGCCATAAGTCTGAAATAGTCTTCACCAGAACTTTAATAGTGGACACATTATGGCCTCGCTTTTTTCTCATGGTTGAAGTTAAAATGCGATACTGAGTGGCGGCAAAGAAATGACCTTTCGAGGTCAGTACCAGTTTCGAGGTCAGTACCAGTTTTGTCGCTGGAGCCGCACAGTTTCGGTTTTTTTTTTAAAGTTTTTGTGCCATCCAAACGGTCTCAGTTCCATTTGCTCAGTTTCTCGAAAAATTGATAGTTTTTGCTGAAACTGAGGCCATCCAAACGGGCCCTTTGTCTGCAGTGCTCTATTCTAGTAGAAAAGGACTGTAAGACCGCAATCCGAAGTTGAATAGAACCTCAACTTCACCGTCATCCTTCTTTTCAGCGTTGCCATTCCCGGGCTACGTTATCCCCGCCTCGCCCTATATCCCACTCCGGCTGTATCAGATGATTTTAGAGGACGAATTTTACGATGCACCGTCGTATTTCAAAGGAAGAAACTTGATGCTGAAGGTATAGGTGATCGTCCTCTCGCGGGAGGAAAGCTCCCGGCCCATAAATTGGTGCTACGGGGCGCGATTGGACAGTCAGGTTGGCGGCATCGGTGAGTACCAGAGGCGAGAGGCCTTGTTGCGACCTGGTGGGACCTGGTATAGGACCTAGTTGTTACGAAGAGAAGACCGGATGCGGTTGCTGAACGTTGAAATGTTTTCTGTTGTTGCTCTTGTGTTCGTCTTGTCGGTCCTTTTGTTGCTCAATACAACAGACCGCATCATCGTCGTAGACCTCTTGGTCAAGTGATCAAGTGGATTCGACGAGCACCAGCCACCATCATTCACATCCACCGTGTACACCACCATCGACGTACGACCACCATGGCTGACCCTCTCTCGGTTGCTGCGTCTGTAGTGGGCCTCATCACAGTCTCGGGAAAGATCGCATCGTCATGTATGCTTTTCTAAAGAACGGTATCAACGCACCGGAATCAGCTGAGCGGGTCATCACCGAGATGCACACCATGGAATTGATCTTTAAGAGGATCCAACAATTCATTGATGGAGCTAGCGCCTCCGTTGACCAGGAAAGGTTGTCCATGATATCTCTGCACGATCTTCTGGCCCTGTTGATGGGGTGCATGTTTGTCTACTCGAAACTGGAGAAGAAGATTAATGCGCTTGGGGGTCATCCTGATGCCGATTGGAGTCTGCGCCGTACATGGTCCCAAGTTCAGTAGGGATGGAGCGAATCAGATATCGTCGCCTTGATGGATGAATTGGGGAGACACAAGATCAACCTCACCCTCATGCTCAACACCATCCATTGGTGAGTTGAATTCAGTTTCCCCACTGCTATCCACGTTTCATTGACGATGACCAGCTAGTCTTCTGCCGATGCAGCCCGAGACTCGGCACAGTTACATTTTTTAGTTCTTGGGTTCCTGAAGTCAACCCATCCGACCTCGGTGGAGGTTCGGGGATTTATGCATCGCTTGGACGAGGTGCCAGCGGATGGCGACCCGATCTCGATCACGACTACGGCTGGTCCCCGCACACTAAGGCAACGGTCATTCGAAGCAGACTTGCGAAAATCAAGACCTTATCGGAAGCTCCGAGTCTAGAGTGCCTCCACCGTCTCCCTAAACAGCTCAGCCACCAAAACTACGAGAGGGACGACACTCTCTGAGCTGACCCCAGCCGATGAAATATCAAGCTTATCCATATTTGAGCTTCCGGTCTGTTGCATGGACTTGTGCAACGGGCAAAACCACCTATCTGTTGACGGTCATGGGATGAGTACCAATGGTCTGGTTGAACCAAGAAGGGCGGTCCTCGACCACGACCGCGTGACTATTCAGGGGGTTCTTGACGGCGGTGTTAAGGTTGACACCACCAATGACGACCTACATACGAGCATTCTAGAATTCTTCGCCGGCGCAGTTCTCGTGCTCAAGGGATGAATCCAGAGTCAGACAACACCTTCACAACTGCTGGGGCGAGCAACATGCTACTATCTTTTGCGAAACCGTGGAACGAATGGGCGCACTTATGAAGGAATTACATAAGGAGCTCAGGGTTGACTACAAATCATCGGTATGCCCCCATCCTAGAACGCCACTTTAACCGGATTGACCGTTAAAGAAGCAGTGAATCGACAAAAACATTGGAGAGATCAAAGTAATAAACGACCAGTTAAAACGACTTGCGAGAGTGCTCCCTTCAGCCGCTCGTGTTCGGAAATTCTCCAAAACAACGGCAGACTCGATGACAGTATACCATAAACGGCGAGAACTGGCGATCAATCTTCACAAATCATTGCAGGAGAACCTGCAGGATATCAGATTGTGTCACTGCGACCAACCTCACTATGCAGCCCTTCGGCTTCCTAGCGTACGTGGACGGGCCACGGAGGAAGTACCAATGCCCACAACATTCGAACTATTTTTTTCCTTTGAGGATGAACTTTCAGATGCTAGCACTGGCTGGGGGACAACTGGACTTTGAGCCATTGACCACGCCGAACCGGGAACCAGTATCCCGTAATATCTCCGACGATACCTTAACCGCTATCACGAAACGCATGAAGTAATTTTTCTCCATGGATTTCTACGAGTCTCGCTGACTTGTCCCCAAACACCGTAACAGTGTCCGATACAACATCCCCGACGAAGCGAAGTCCGTCACAGCCACCATCAAACCAACGATACCGTCTGGTGGAAAGGAAAAGGCAATCGAAAATCTGTGTTCGGTGATCCAGCAAGCGGTGCACCAAAGCTTCAATGGGAGTTCTGCGTCGGCGATATCTTTGGGTGCACTTCTGGGAGAGAGAAACGTCGCCTGGAATTGCTTACGGCCACGCACCGTGATCGCATTCCCCTTCGAAAAGATACGAGCGATACCACTTGATGCTGTTCTCAAGACGGGTGGACTGCACCCGGTCGAGGCGCTAAAATTGGGTGTCCAGATTGCGCTCGCTCTCATGCAACTTCATACTACACAGTGGTTAGGCAACACTTGGGGCAAAAAGGACATTTTCATTCTTCACCGAGAGGTCGAGCGCGAGTAGGTTATGTGAGTCTGTATAATTTTTACCTGCTCCCGCATCCCGCAAGCGGCACCACTACCTGGGAATGCCCTGTACCGCACGGATTATTCGTGAAGTAGACGGTCCGTTCTCGGACGGGTGATGGTCACGCGACAAGTTGAGACTACCGCAAAAGATGATTCTGCCGCGGCGCGTGAAGACAAGGCCTCGGGGCAGAGAGGGCTTTTGTGTATGGATTGTGCGATGGTGAACTTCGGTTTACGGACGGACCTGAGTATGCAATCATAACCCAATCCCGGGGCGGGATATACATTTGATGACCGGAGGTTTACGGCGGCGGGTACCTAAGCCACTCAGATCGGCAAAATACAGGGCTGAATTGGATGATCTTGGAGCGGGTTCAGTTGCTGGAACTCGACCGAAAAAAACCATGATAGAAGTTTTCACAGCTTGATTACGGATCACGGGGAAGCAGTCGAGGGCAGTGATGTGATGAATTTTGGGGCGAATCCAAAGTAAACAAGTATATACCGTGAAACTATGGCGGGGGTGTCAAGGGCTGACGATGTAGGAAAATAACGACGGTTGCGCTAATAAAGCAAAGACGAGCAGAGGAGTTGAACGATGCGAGCAGAAACGATCGCCACATCAGTCTTGCAGAACAATGATGGAGTCAAAACCAACAAAGAAATATGAATCAGAAACAAGGAAATACAGAATGAAATACACCATAACCTCGCTAGCCAGTATTTCCTTTCTTGGGCGCTTCGACCCCCCCCCCCCCTCACCCCCCGGCGCGCGCCCCAGTAAATCGAGCGGAATCATGACATGCGGACACATGGGAAACATCAGCGCTTGTCAAGCTGAGTGACCAAGGAATATCTATCGCCCATTCGTCAGCAGGAGAGCTGGAGGTGGGGAAGTACGTCGTACACCTATTTCTAAGTTCCATTCGAGTACCCAGACAACCTGTGCCTGGAATTCATTTTTATAGAGAAGGTCGGTCAAGTCCTGTCGAATCGGTTCGTCAAATTTTAGACCTTTGATGCAACGTTCTACTGCGCCTCCGTATGCGGCCCCCTGGGTGGAGTACACATGTCCGAGACAATCCAACGCGGTCGTGTAGTCCAGAAAGTCACGTGACTGGAAGTTGAAATCACGGGTGGTCTTTTCAGAGGATCGGAGGTCTTCAATAGTCTTTCCCAATGCCAACTCGATCAAGATGATTCCCAGAGAGAACAGGCTGTTATCACGATCCGTCGCGGCGCTGTTGGTATCGGAGGTTTGAGAATTTGTGTCCCCATGCGGCTCCAAGATGCATCGAACAAACGAATGTTCGAGTATGGGTTCCCGCGTGTCCTCGTTTGCTGTGTCGTCACGTGTCGTCACGCACCAGTCATCCCTCACTCAGGCACCAGGGACCGGGGTGCACCGGTTACACGGCAATCGTGCCTCGGCTCGCCAGAGCACAAAACCCATCCGGCCAGGGTCCGGTTCGTCACCCACAACCGCACTCCAACCACCTCCACCTCCGGCCGCGATGCAGACCACGACTCCCACTCCTCCCGCAAGGCATGCCCCCGCCATCCACCCCGACTTCGTATCGATACCGTGGGCGTACGCGCTGCTCACCTCGCCGACGACATCGGTCTTTACCGGCCGCGATATCCAGCAATCTAAGCCCGGACCGGGGCGCGAAGACTCGCTCACAGCCGTGACGCTGCAGACGAGCGAGACAATCCGTGCGCTGGCGAGCGTGCGCGTTGGGTCAAGCGACGTGACGTGCCTGCTCGTCTCGCTCGGCACCGGTATGAACGGCCACGGCGGGATCCTGCACGGCGGCATCGTCAGCACGCTGCTGGATATGGCGACGGGCTCGGCGGTCGTTGCGCTCGCTTTCACGGCGTACCTAAACGTTACGTTCCGTAAGCCTGTGCCTACACCGAGTGTGGTATTGTGTCGCGGATGGTTGGTTAGGAGGGAGGGGAGGAAGTTGTTTATCCGTGGGACTGTCGAGGACGGCGAAGGTGGTGTCTATGCAGAGGCGGATAGTCTGTTCGTTGAGGTGCGGGAAAAGGCGAAGCTGTAGAGCTGGGTGGGGGCCCTGTCTTTCTGGGATGTAGTGCTAGCCCAGCGCATGTGCATAGTATACATAGTAGTCGTCCGCGGGTGTTATAGAGGTTTAATAGAATTCGTTGATCGTTTTGCTACTCGTTTCGAGGAATAGCTGTTTCCCGGAGCCCACTGCGGCGATCGCCGGCGCTGCTGGGTTAGGGTTCCTCGGCTGTCGGTTCAATTATCTACAAGAAATAGCATGTGATACCTAGGCGGAGCCGCTCTCTACTCTCGAGTGATATTCGCAGCTGGCACCATCCACGCGAGGTTTCCGATTTGACGGGCAGGCAATATCCAAACCACCGTTCAGGGTGCTCACGTTGCCATCGATCGGGTCTCGATATGGGCTCTGCCGACTACAGAACCCAGATCAGTGCGCCTCTCTCGTCGCCCCGATGCGGTCGCCGGCGTCAGCAGCAGGATCGTGAAGTGGAAGAAGAAAGGCTTCAAACTGCGCCGACGTACCCCGCAGGAGGAGACCGTCGTGGATAGGGGTATGTTTGTGCAGCTGGATCGTTTCATCGCGCAGCTGGCGGATGAAGGCGGTGTTCGCGTCAAGTTCTGGGGGCAAGAGGGTGTATAATGAACTGCCTGGCGAGGCGGCGGTAGCTGCGCTAGAGATCGTGTTGGAGCGCGACGCTTACGATAGCGAATACGACTCGGATTAGTAGTTACAACTAGAAACTGTCTTCTTTTTCTTGTGGTCATTGTTTCATCATTTGTGTTTTGACATTAGATCATACTTTCTGCTGTTGTCGAGTCACAGCCACAGTCAGATAATGTATGGACTTTCTCCGCCGCCAGTAGTGAGCGGGTTCGACAAAGATAGGTTAAGCCGGTGTTCGAAATAGTCCTGTCCGGACTACGGGGACTGGAGGAAAAAGGCACCGTTTTAGGACTGGAAGAAGAAGTGGGCGTTGCGGGAACTGGACGGAGAAGGCAGCGTTAGTGGATTGGCTGAACCCTCTACCACAACCAAAAGCCAATTGCGGCCGCCAGAGCAGCCAGCACGACCATTGGCGCCACGCCA